GAGCTGGGGCCCAGCATCTGCTTTAACCTCCACTCCTACCTGGGCAGGAGGAGCCATGAGGCTCCCTACAAGATGTACCTCCAGAAACTCCATTCTATCCCAATCCCTATATTTTGCATCCTCTCAACCTCAGCAGCAACTCCTCTGATCCTTGGACCTATGGCCCCTCTGCCAGGTTTCATCAGGCCTGCAGGTCCTTCAGCTCATCACCCTGTCTCAGGGTGTGAGGCCAAGGCCCCTAACCAGGTCCCCTATTCAGGGCTTCAAAACACACATTTGCATCGTAAAGGCAACCTTCCCGTTGTCTGGTTATTTCCCATAAATACTGAAAAGCACTAAATTCCTATTTACATTTTAAATTCCAAATGGGGGCCTGCCACTCTCCCTCCCAGCCCGACCACAGGCTGGAGCCAATCTCTTGATCTAAAACATTTTGGGGTAACAGACTCTGGCCCTCAACTGTTAGAAGTGTGGCCCAAGCAAGTGGGCCTTCCCTGGCCAGGGAAGCTCAGGCAGCAGGGCCACTGAACCCTGTCCCCAGGGCTGGTGACTTTTTTAGCACCCCTCAGTGTTCCCCACCCCCATTCTCCTGGACTTCTGTCCAGGCTTTCAGAAACCTTCGCTGGTGGAGGTGCCTTTGTGAGCTCCTGTGCATATACCCCTTTCAGAGGTGACAACACTGAGGCCCACAGAGACACAGGAGCCCACTCAGAGACCACAGCTGTGCAATCCCAGTCCTGGACTTCTCACCATGCCCTGTAGACAAGTCCCCTGACACCTGGCCATCTGGAATATAGTCCTCCAGCCAGGCTATATTCTTGTGGATCCTCACTTTTCTCAAGGACATCTATCTCTGTTCAGAAGTCCAGAATCAGACTGTCAAAGCTGAAAGGGTCACTCAAACTCCACAGATCCAACCCTTTTTCACAAACTGGAACACAGGCTGGGTAGTATGGGTGGGAGTAGCGGGTCACAATGGAGTTTGTGCGAGAGCCAGGGTTCAAACTGAACCAGAGCCTAGACTCCCAGTCTACCCTCCTGTTGCTGCTGCTCAGGCAAATCTGTGTCATCCTCGGGCCCAAGAGCCGGTGCTGCTTGAGCCAGGCAAGATGTGCCAAAGGTTGAGGCCTGGCAGGGAGCAAGGCAGATCTTTGCTCTTAGAGAGCTCCCAGTACTCAAGTAAACAGGCAAAATAGGATCAGATATTAAGTGCTATAAAGAAAATCATGTAGGGTGATGACAGGAATTCTAGGCAGGTATTTTAACATGGCTGACTGTGGAAGCTGCTCTGCGGGGATATTTATGGATTGAGATTTGAATGAAAGGAGCCAGCCACACAGCAAGTGCAAAGGCCCTAAAGTGGGAGCCCCTGGGTATGTATGAGGAACAAGGCCTGTGTGGCTGAGTGCAGATTTATCCTAAGTTTGGTGAGAATTCACTGGAGGCTTTTTAGCAGAGGCAGAACACACAGGACTGGACTTCTGTTAACTACTCCCTCTGCTACTTTGTGGAGAGAACTAGAGAAGCCAGAGTGGGAGGGTGGAGAGCACAGTGGCTTGGAGAGAAGTGGTTGAATGTGGGGCCCATTTGGGGGTCACCTGAGGAAGGGTTAGGTGAGAGGGTAGAGGAAAAAAAGAAATCAGAGGGTATATGCTTTCTGGTTAGAACAGTTTGTGAAAGTTTGGTGAGGAACACGTTTGCAAGAGAAAATGAGTTGTTTTAACCACTAAGCAGAAGAGATGTAGAAATGGTGGTAGGCAGCTGGATGCCAGAGTCTACTGGTCAGAAGAAGGACAGAAATCAGGTCAGGGGACAGAAAGGGAGTGTCATTGTTTTATGGATGATATATGGAGTCCCAGCACTGGATTAGCTCACCTAGGCGGAAGAGTACCTTCCCTGAGCTTCCTCCAGGCTGGCCAGGTCCTGGCCATTTCCAGGTGCTCCTTTTTTTTCATATTTTGTCATTTATCACTGGCCACTTCAGGCCTTCCACTCATGGCTTCTTTAGAAGGATGGCAGGAGAGTTACCTACCTGGGAGTGTGGGACTTGAAAAGTATCCCTGAAGGCTGACAAGATGCCAGTCCTGGCCACTTAATTACCCCTTCCTCAAGGGTCGGTCTCCTCATCTGTGTAATGAGCCAGTGGAATGAAACCACATGGTCCCTGCCAGCTCCCAAATCCTGGAATTAGCCTCCTGAAGCCCTGATACACAGGCAGCAAACCCCATCTTAGCAAAAGCACCCCCTCCACTGGCAGGCCACAGGATCTATCAGGGCTGGCACAGACTCTGAGCAGTATCTTTTGTATCCTTCCCTATGACCTGGGCCACACTGCCTCCCTCCACTGATTTCTTCTCTTCTCCCTTTATGGCCAGGTCTCCCCCAGAGCTCCAGAAACTTCCCTCTGCCCCACAATGGCTGTACCCCCTCACTGACTAGAACCTGGAAATCTGGCTCACCTAGAGGAAGCCCCACCCCTTCTCCCCCTGACCCAGGTCAAATCAGATATTTTTTAAAGATTTTATTTATTTATTTTTAGAGAGGGGAAGAGAGGGAGAGAAACATCAATGTGTGATTGCATCTCACACACCCCCTGCTGGGGACCTGGCCTGCAACCCAGGCCTGTGCCCTACACTGGGAATTGAACCAGCAACCCTTTGGTTCACAGGCCGGCGCTCAATCCACTGAGCCACACCAGCCAGGGCCAAATCAGATTTTTTTTTTTTTAAAGGGAAATCTGAACTGCATTTTTATCTGAAATATTTTAAATCCTGGAAGTAATTTAGTTTTAAAAACAAAACAAACATTAGGTTTAATACCAGTCTCGTCAGCTCTGCTGAACATGTCTGCTCTGATGATCAATGCACTTTCGGAGTGGGCTGCACTGTTGACATACCAACCTTTCCTTCTTGAAACTCCCTCCTCCTTTCCTTTGGTGACACCAGCCATACTTGGTTTCTTCCTTCCTCTTTGAACACTCTTCCTCTAACACCAAAGGAGCAGCTTCCCTTGTCTACCATTCCCACATCCTCCCTTTCCCTCACCCAGCATGCTACTGCCACTAGTTCCAGATTCACATTTCCAGCTACGCTCTCTCTGGTGATGGTGGCACAAATGTCAGTCTGGGAGGTGGCCTTGCTGCCCACACTGGGATTTCATCACGGCCATTACCCTCTGTTCTCCCATTGACCCTAGCTCAAGCTCAAGCCCCTCTCATTCAGTTATCTGGCCACCTCTTCTCCACCTGGTTTCCTCAGGCCAGCTCTCTTCCAGGTGTCCCTGTTCCCATCCCATCTCTAGGCACTCTGGTCCACCCAGAGAGGATCACCGTGTACCTCCCCAGTGTGCCCTCTGTTCATTCTTGAAAGGCTCCTGCTCCTGGGCAGGGTTGTGGCATCTGCATCTTATCATTTCTCCCTCATCCTCCATGAATCGTAGATCCCAAACCCCAGCCAGCACATGCCTTGCATTTCAGAATGCAAGGTCTTTGCTCAAGCAGTTCAGTATCAGCAAAAACTCTTCCCACTCTCCAGTGCCACCTGGAGGGCCCAGCTCTATGGCAATTTCAGAAACCCTGGCAGATAGTTCCATTTAGGGCTTCCTCATTTCTGGGAGAGGGTATTGGCCTTCTTGGCAGATACCCGGGCTATTATCTTCTCCTATGGCGTGTACTCACTGTCCTGGGCAGCAGAAGCCCTTTCTTGGATCCATGCTCCAGAACCATGACCGCCCCTCAAAATAAAACCCCACGCAGTTCCACTTTTCCCAGCCTTTACCAGAGGCTTATTCACTAGCTCTTCCGAGGGCAAATGGGGCCTGTGCAAGCGCTATGAAAGGAATGAGAGGCGACAAGAGGGGACCACCATGCCCACTTAAAGTGATCAGCTGGGGCAGAGGGCCCTAAAATGCGCTCCTACCTTTTAGGGACCTCACAGCCTCCAACTCTTCGCACCCTGGAACCCCAATTCTCAAGCCTACTATCCACCTACCCCCTCATCTATGCTTGGGTCTCAGGGGACTGTTTCTTGTTTATGTCTCTGTCGTGGTCCCGAGCCGTAAAGTCACTTACTCCAAAGGTGTCAACTCATCTCCCGAGTGTCTCCCTGTGGTCTCAGCTTCCCCAAAGTGGAAGCTTCTTTGGCTTCAAGACTGACTCACGCGACTCCTTCGCACCCTCAATACTGGGCGCAGCAAAGCTCAGGTTCACCAGCCTTAGAGGAGGTCTTCGAGTGGTATCCGGAGGGCTCTCTCCAGGACCCACTCTGAATTTCCCTCCCCCAAAACGGGGGAGGGGTGTGGCAGGGAAATAAAAGCAACTCTCCCGCGGCCTTACACACCCCTAGTCTGCTCCACCCAGGATCCGCCATTTGGCTTGGGGAGGGGACTACCCACAAAATGGGGTACTTGGAGCATCAGAGGTAGGGGATGGGGATCGACAAGAAAATGTTCCCAGGGAGGCACTGCGTTTTAAGACCGTGGTTTCGCGGCTGGAGGCGGGCGGAGGCCCCCTTCGACGAAGTCCTAGCTCTTCGTGCCCCAGCACACAGTGCCCCAGCCGACCACGTGAGGGCGTACCCTGTGTTAGTTCAGACAAATAAAAGCTGGTCCTGCGGACAGGCCGGGGTTCCCTGGACGCGGTCAAGGATTAAGTGCCCGTGGCGCATTCTTGGCAGCTGGGCGGGAAGCTTAAAGCCGTGTGGCCTCTCCCTGGGCCTGCCCTATTCGTCTCTAAAGCGGGTCCCCCAGCCTCCTCTCGCGCTCTTCAGCCTAGGGTGCACCCATCCGTTCCCCAATGCCGGGCCATTTCCAGGAACAGACCGCCTCTTCACTGCCCCTGGGGCTTGGAATCTGCCCAGAGAGCACGGATGCGAGCGCAGCGAGGCCGGTGAAGCGCGGTACCGGAAGCCAGTGGCCGGGGAAGGGGCTCCAAAAAGCACAAGTTGGAGCTGGCTCCGGACCAGGCTGTTGTTGTTCTCAACGTGGTCCGCCGCAGAGCCATAAAAGGGAAGCGAGGCGCCCTCTTTCTCCGTAGAACGCAGCGTGCACGCCTGAGGTTCTCGGCAGAGAGTAGTGTTAGCAGTGGCGGCAGCTCCCTCACGCCGCTTTGCTGCGGCCCAGGCCCTACTCCAGGTTCTTCCTTCCTCTCCGGCTCAAGCCCGGCCCGGGACGCCCGCCGGCCCGGCCCCCGCCTCAGCCCTGCCGCCTGGCTCCAGGCCCGGCCGCGGTCGCTCCCGCCTGGAGCCGCCGCGTGCCCCCAGCCCCCCGGCCTCCCCTCGGCCCCTCGCTTTTCTCTTCCCGGCACGGCCACCGGGCTTCCGCGTCCGGCCCGCCACCAACCCGCTCGCCACTATGTCTGTGGAACTCGAGGAGGCTCTGCCGCTAACGACCACCGAGAGTACGGCCAAGAAGGTGACCAAGGTTAGTGGCTCGGCAGCTCTGTCCCCATCCAAGAAGAGGAAGAACAAGAAGAAAAACCAGCCGGGCAAGTACAGCCAGCTGGTGGTGGAGACCATTCGCAGGCTGGGCGAGCGCAACGGATCTTCGCTGGCAAAGATCTACACGGAGGCCAAGAAGGTGGCGTGGTTCGACCAACAGAATGGGCGCACCTACCTGAAGTATTCCATCAAGGCACTGGTGCAGAACGACACGCTCCTGCAGGTAAAGGGCACCGGCGCTAACGGTTCCTTTAAGCTCAACCGCAAGAAGGTCGAAGGCGGCTGCGAGCGACGCGGAGCCTCGGTGGCTACCGCGGTGCCGACCGCCGCCGTGCACAAGGCCAAGAAGGCGGCCCCCGGCGCTGCGGGTCCCCGGCGCTCTGACCAGAAGTCTGAGAAGCGGTCGCACAAGAAGGGCGCCGCCTCCAAGAAGCACAAAGGCGGCAATGCTAAGAAGGCGGCGGCTGGGGGCAAGGTGAAGAAGGCCGCAAAGCCCAGCGTCCCGAAAGTACCAAAAGGCCGCAAGTGAGCGCACCGATCTGCTGGTCGGGCGGGTGTTCCAGTCTTTTGTACCCCGAATGTATTGTAGTTTTTATACGGTTACCTGGGCCCGGGGCCCCTTCGTCCCTCCCATCTCCCGCCTGCAGTGGTAGTATTTTTTGTTGTTGTTTTTGTATGTTTGCTTTGGATTTTGAAACGACCCTGGCGACGCCCCCATTGGCTCTTCGCCCTTGGCAACGGCTGTCGCTATGGTTACCCACCCTTAGGCGCGAATGGCCGAAGGTACTGCTCCTCCCTTTCCAGCTCCCGACTCTCACAGCCTTTGGGTGCACGACGAACAATTGCGCGGTGCTGCGTGGCTTTTCCTTTCATCCCTTCGGCATTTGGGGGTACAATAAATTGTTTAAACCTTTGAACTGCTCTCATTTTCTTATGAGTGGACTAAGGATGGGCGCGGTTGGCGCGCGTCTTGGGTTAGATGGTGGGTCCCACGAGTCCTCTGCAAGTTAGGGGGGTGCTGGTACATCCCAGAAGGATGCTTGGGACCGACGTCCTGTGAGCACAGATGAAAAGATGCTGGAGATAGGCTGGTTCGGTTCCCGACAATGGCCTTTGGGATAGGGGAAGCGGTGTGTTTTTTCAGCCCCTCAGCTCTTAAAAGGACACACCAGGTGGGGCTTTTATGGAGATTAGTTATTCTGAATTCTGGGTTACTTAATGTTGCTATGACGGGGTAATGGAGATATAGAGGCCCAGGGCCCTCATTTACCACCCACAACTCGAAGTGCAGTCTGATCTTGTTCATTGGCTAATCTGGATCGCAGGCCAGGCAAAAGGGTTGCTGGGTAAATTGAGAATGACCCTCAGCCCTGAGACACTGGTGTCCAGCAAATGGAATTGTTCTAGAGTTAGGCAGTAGGCTGAGGCCTATTCTGACATGTTCCTATGAAAAATCAATCCTGTAAAACAGGTTTTAAACAACTCTAAAATTCAGGGCATGTTCTAGAACAGTGGGTAGTACATGTATGAAGTTGGGCAGGCTTGAGCTGGGGTTAGGTGAGATAGAGCTGGGATCTTTTGACTGCTTTCATAGACTACAGGTAGACGGGAAGGCAATAGACTAGGGGAAGGGTGGGTGCACCGCTGGAGAAGGGCCCCTGGCCTGCTTGTGTCCCTGACCTTGGCATGTTGGTCACTACCCTTCCCTGGTACACAAAGTAGGATCATAGGGCAGACCTCTCAGCCATGGACCACCCTGCAGACCCCACAAGGGCAAGTAGCCACACCACTGTCTTCAAGTCTGTTCATATTGCTCTGGAGGCTCCTGCCTACTGCTTCCTGCCTTTGGGAACTGCAGAGCCAGGTGCCAGTGTCTCACCTACCTTGTCCTGTGTTGGGCTGGGAGGAGACAACAGTGGGCAAAACCAGCACAGGTGCCTGCCCTGCCTGATCTTCCTGTTGCAGACATGCTGCTGAGCACATCTCTGCTCTCTAGGAAGAAGTTCAGAGTACAAGGTGGGATCCTGACCTGAGTGTGGAGATGTGACTGATGGTTACAGGAAGCACTGTCATTAGGGTACAGGAGATGTGGTGCTAGACTTGGCTGTGGCTGTTTTGGTTCTAGGGAACTGTGGGCATCCAGGAAAGAGTTGGAGACACTGAGAGAGTAGTGGGCCAGGGCTGACAGCTCCATCCACCCTGCCAGCCCATGTCCTAGCCATTTGTGGATCAGTAACAGCATCATCTACTTTTCAGTTTTGATGGGGATTGGGAGGCAGGCAATGTGTTTTGTGTCCTGCTAGGCTATTGTGCTAGTCTAGGGCCTGTCCCATCCATACTGGCTGCAGGACCAATGAGTAGGACAGCAGCTAGAGGCCTCAGCCTACCCAGGATTCTGGGGCATGGTGCTCCTGATAAGTTAAATGTGATCCCTCAGATTCTATTCCCTAAACCAGAAACCCAGCCTAGGTGCCTCCTGGGCTCACTCCAATTGTCCAACTTGGAATCTGGGTCTGGGGTCTGGTACTTGGCTTTCTAACCAACTCCCAGGTGGCTCTAAGGTTCAGAGAGGGTTGAGAAGATCTACTACAGGGGCCTGACACTTGGATTGCATACTGCTCCTTCCTGCCTAGCAATTCACACTGAGCTTCATCGCTTTCTTGGAGCCTTACTTAACCAAAGCCCCCCACCCTGCTCACTGTCTCCTGTGAGGACATCCCATGAGCACTAGGGTACCCCAGATGTCCTTCAGATCATACTTATTCCTCACTGCCTTTTCATATTTCCCATCAAATTTCTCCCCTTGCTGCTCGTACCTCCTTGCTCTCCCAGTGACCTCCCTCTTCGATGATGTGGCACTCCTCTGTCCTGTCTCCACCTCTCTGTTCCTTTGATGGCTTGGGCCCCTGGCTTGCCGTCTACTCTACCCTAAGGGCTGCCTCCTCCAGGAGCACTCAGTGGACCAGCCCTTAGGGCCGGTCTCCCACTCTTGATAATAACACTTTAATTTTTCTCTGGAGACCTAATTTACTCTACTCTCAGCCCACATGGTTCTGAGAGTCTGATGCTTTTAGTCCTGGGGATGTTTGCATGACCCAGACATGCAGTGAATAAAGGTTGTCAGTTCAGTTTGCCACAATGACTGGGTCAGAAATGAGTTCTTGACCCCAGTGGGTTCACTGAGAGTCAGTCCTAGGACTTTTCCTGGAACTACTGAGAGTGTTCTTTTCCCTGGGATCACTAAGGGTAGGGACGTGGGGCCAGAGTTGACAGTGGCCATCTTTATCAACACATAGGGAGAGCCCACCTAAAAAAGGATCCAAGACAGAGAACATTAGAACTGAAAAACAGAGAGAAGCCTGAGAATCTGAATGGAACCTCTAGATCCAGCTGTGCCTGAGGCTAGTTTAGACCTGTGCCATGTGAGCTGATACATTGTTTTTTAAATAAGATAGTTTGAATTGAGTTTTTGTCATTTACAATCTGTCTTATTCCTTTAACTCACTTTATCCTCCCAGGCTCACATCCTGGACTTTTCATCCCTGCAAATTTCTCTTCCCTCAAAACCCCTCTTAAGTGTCCCACTCTGTACCCACAGGTCCCTCCCCTCCTCTCTTTGCAGCTTGCTCACTTCAGCGTAGCTGTACCATTGTGGGTGGATCCCGCATCTCTGACATGCACCCTAAGTTGAAAGACGGATGGCCATAATCAGCCCCATGTGAACATTCAGTGTGTGATAGGCACTTTGAGGAAGGCTGCACAGGCCTCATCTTAGCCTCATGACAGCCCCAGTGAGGAGGAGTTCAAAAATTCATCTTACTGGTGTGGGTGCTGAGACTGGGAGGCTTATTTTCTGCCTTGACACCACACTTACCTCCTGTATAGAGCTGGGGAGTCCAGGATACACCATTTACTTACTGTGTCTGTTGGATTTGGCTTTACAGAGCCTCAATTCCAGATGAACATTAAAGGCACACTATATAGCAAGGCCCAGAAGGAGGGCCTCGTGGGGGAGGTGACTCCAGTGCAGTGAGGAGGCAAAGGACAAGATATGCAGCAATGGCTCAGGCTGGTGCCCCTCTCAGCATCCACTGATCAGGCGGCGGGACTAATGGGACTAGGTCCTGTAGGCTTAGGTCAATGTTCTGGGCTTGGCTCCACCATGGTCTTTTGGTCTGGGGAAAGACTGTTCTCCCCAAGCTTCAGTTTCTTCATCTATAAGTCGAGCCAAGAAAGATTTCTTTTACTCATCTGCTAACCAAGGAGGTCTGAACACACTGCCTCTGGCCAAGGTCTCCAGGTTTTCGTGCCTCCAACCCTCGCATACCCATGGGTGCAGTGCTCTCTTCCTGCTACCCCACCTCCCTGTGAACGTCCTAAGAATCTCAGGTCTACTTTCTGGGTCCCTAGATCCAACTTCTTGGCTGGAGGACAGTTCCGCCAGTACTGGAAAGGTCCCTTCCCAGGCTGTGCAGCCTCAGCAATTCATCCAATTGACTGCTATGGACCCACCTAGCTGAAACTGTTCCTCTACCATGGCAGGGCTTAGTGCTGAGCACAAGACTTGTTGGAAGGTCTGAGTACTCAGCACAAGGGTACTGACATCTTGGCGTCCCAGGTATCAGACCTTGGATGATGTGGCCAGAGGCAGCTCCACCAGTCTTGAGGCAGCAACTGCTGTTGGGACCACATGCACTTGAAAAATGAAGGCAGTGACACTTGCAGACCTATCAGACTTGCTGCCTGTTCTGGAAGAGCTTAGCCATATGCTGGAGGATGACAATAAATCAGGAACATCTGGGTACAGACATTCCAGGCTGGAGTAGCACTAGCACAGGCCCCAGGATTGAAAAAAGCTCCTGAGTTTGGGGAATGGTGAAAGCATTGAGTCAACTGATAGACCACCAGGCATCACCAGGCAGGAATAGTTAGTAGAGCTTCAGATTCCCATATCAGCTGGAGTTCAATGAAGAAGCAGAACCAGAAGGGATATAAGCATATATACACCTATATAATATTTGATTGCTACAGGGAATTGGCCTGCACACTTGTGGGACTGGATAAGCAATTTCTGTAAGGCTGAATCTCTGTGATTCAGTCAGGTGCTCAGTCAGGAGGTGAAGATCATGAGCAGGCTGAAACTCACTAACACAAGCTGGAACCCTAGGATGGACTAGTACCTGTGACTGTTATTGCTGTCTCTGACCTTGCTGATGAGAGTATTCTGCAGAAGCTGAGGCCCTTCATCACAGAGCTAACCATGCACACACTTGGTTGAGGAGTGAAAAAAACTGAAGGCCTAGGTGCTGCTTCACAACAAGAAGGTACATCAGCAGATCAGCAACCCAAATGGTTGCTTCCTTCCAAACCTGGTAAGTATCTGCCTTGTAGCCCACACTAACAAGAAACATAAAGTTAGGGAGTTCTGGGAAATACAGTTCAGCCTAGACCAGTTGACAAAGCCATCACAGTTCCCCGTTATAAAATGAGTCTGTGTGTGATGAGGGTGAGAAGAGACTAGATCAGGGTCTCAAATGCAGAGGTGCAATGGTACCAGGCCAGACAGGGCAGTCTGGCCATCTGGAGGACACAGACTCCACCTGAATTGGGGCAGTAACTATCCAGTCATGCTGATTGTTGCCAGGCAGCATGTGGCTTAGTACATCAAGAGCTTCCCATTTTTTTCAGACTGAGTCAGAAGCACCTCATGAAATGTTTTTAAGTCCCCTCTCCAGAGACAAGGAGAGAGGCTTGGGCCATTTAGAAAGGCATAGGTAGTATGCCTTAGCATAGCAGTGGTCCTACATGAGGCTCAGTCATCTGAAGTACCTCTCAGAATTTTTTATATGGAAATCATAAACTTTTTTTTGTGTGTGAAACCTCCCACTTTTAAAATGTGGGCTTTAAAAAAGAAATACTCTATTTCACACCTATTAGGATGGCTACTATAAAAAAAAAAAAAAGAACAAAAAATTGTTGGTAAGGATGTGGAAAAAAATTGTTGGTAAGTCAGAAACCTTGTCCACTGCTGGTAGGAACCTAAGATGGTACACCTGTGGAAAACATTATGGTGGTTTCTCAAAAAATTAAACATAGAATTACCATATGATCCAGCAATTCCACTTCTAGGTATACACCCAAAAGAATTAAAGAGGGTCTCAAAGAGTTATCTGTTCACTTATGTTCATAACAGCATTACTCACAATAGCCAAAAGGTAGAAGTACCCCAAGTGTCCAAAGAGGAATGGATGGATAACCACAGTGTGGTCTATCCTTACAATGGAATATTATTCAGCCTTAAAAAGGAAGGAAATTTGTCATGGCCAGGTAGCTCAGCTGACTGGAATGTCATCCCATACACCAAAAGTTTGTGGATCCAATTCCCAGACAATGCATACATCTAGTTTGCAGGTTCGATCCCCATTCAGGGTATATAGGGGAGGCAAATGATCAGTATTTCTCTCTCACATTGTTGTTTCTCTCTCTCTTCCCCTGCTTTCCTCTCTCTCTCTCTCTCTCTCTCTCTCTCTCTCTCTCTCTCTCTCAAAAAATCAATGAAAACATATCCTGGGGTGAAGATTTAGGGAAAAAAAAAAAAAAAGGAAGGAAATTTGACATAAGCTTTGACATGGATGAATCCTGAGAACAATATGCTAACTGAAATAAGCCAGACACAAAAAGACAAATAATGTATGATGCACTTACATGAAATACATAATCAAATTCATAGAGCTATAAAGTCAAATGGTTGCCAGGGCTGGAGATAGGGAGAAATAGGGAGCTGGTGTTTAATGGGTAAAGTTTCAGTTATGCAAGATGAAAAAGTTCTGGAGATTGGTTGCACAACAATGTGAATATACTTAACACTATTGAACTGTATATTTAAAAATGGTTAAGATTGCACTGCCCTGGGGAAGGGCTGGGGCCTGTGGCCACCACTCATGGACCCCTTGGAGGGACCCCAGCCTTCCCTTGGGTTGGTGTAGGTGCTTTGGTGGGATTACTCTGGCCAGAGCAGGAGCCCTCCCATGTTCCCATGCACGCTCACTCGCTCCAGGTTGTCTGGATCTTACCGTAGAAGCGTGGACAGGTGGCCGGTCATGTTAGAGCCTAGCTCCTCAGAGCCCCCATCTGCATGTGCTTTCACTCCCTCAGCTACAAGGGTCAGATATGACATCAAAATCAACAACCTCTACTTTTTTCTTTTGTATTTTGATAAACACTGAAGAAGCTGGAGCTTTTAAACTTTATCTTGGGGGGAAATCTCAGTACTGGTTTATCTGGTATCATGGAACCTCTTACTGCTTTCAATTCACAATTAGTAACCAACCGTTTTTGTATATTTGTTTTCATTTTGACAAACAAGCACTGTAATTATAGCTATTAGAATAAAATCTCTTAACTATTAAAAAAATAAAAATAAAAATGGTTAAGATGATAAAGTTTGTTATGTGTATTTTTCCACAGTTAAGAATAAATGCTTTGTGGGCCAAACATAATCATGTGTGAGTTGAATGTGGCCTGCAGTCTCCCCTTTGAGATCACTCATCTTTTTTTTTTTTTTTTTTTTTAGATTTATTTATTTTAGACAGAGGGGAAGAGAAGGAGAGAGGGAGAGAAACATCAATGTGTGGTTGCCTCTCGCACACCCCGTAATGGGGACCTGGCCCATAACCCAGGCATGTGACCTGACTGGGAACTGAACTGGCGACCCTTTGGTTCACATGCTGGCACTCAATCAACTGAGCCACACCAGCCAGGATTCAACTTGATCTTCTATGAAGGCCTTTCTGGCTGCTTCACAAGAAGCCCTGGATAGTGTTCTTCTGAAGGAGACTGAGACAAAGAAAGCCATAAAGTAAGAGCTGTAGACCTGGCTTTCTGGTCCTGATGTTTTGTACTAAGGACAACCTCCTCTCCCTTGCACAATGCACCCTGCACATATGTACTTCCAGAGGCCCTTTTTCTCACCTACCTTATCTTGCCTCTCTTCCAGCTCCCGTCTTTCTTGTGGCTACCTCCATTAGGGGCTAGGAGTGTGGCATCAGGGCTGCCCTTTAGAACTTTTTGTGTTATTTAGCTTGATCGTCCAACCCCATTCACTGATGTCCCCAGCTCCTCTAAAGAGTCCTCTAGCTTCTGTCTCCCGCTGGGAGTTTTGCCCATAGAGCCTATAGCATGCCTCTCCTCTCTGGAGTCCTGGAACATCAAGGGGATTTTCAATCCATCTCTACATGGGGGACACTATCCAACAAGCATGTTCTTCTGGGTTCCTGGGAGTTCAACTGTGAGCACCCACTCTCCTGATTTAGAGATAGGAAAACAAAGGACTTGCTCAGTTTTGCATGCACTGGGAACCCTTCCCTACAGCCTAAACCAAAGCTCCTTTCCCCAAGGAAGGAGGTTCCACCTTTCCCTTCACTTGCTCCTTGCTCTGATTGAGAGGATGGAGGGTGTACAGACCCAGGTGGGTAGGAGTCTGAGGCCACCAATTACTATCTGTGGTACCCATTGCCCACCTGCCCTCTGGGCTTCCCCAGCACCAAGCAGGATATTGTCCAAACTAAGCTTAAATACTCCTCCCAAACCATGAGTTCCTTGGATTTGTCCTTAACGTACCTAAGCCAAACTGTGTGGCTTTGTTCAAACACCTCCCTTGCCTGGTTCTGTTCTGCCTCTGTACAAGGTGGGATTGGGCTTTAGGCACACAAGCTTTGCACCAGATGTATCCAGAAGTGCTGCAGACAGGAGTGGAGGGCAGATACCTGTCTATTAAGATCTGGACTGCTGGGGTGCTTCTGCCTCTCCTGAGACTAAAAAGCAGGAAAGAATGCCCTAAATTAGGTCTAGAATCAAGCCTGATCACTGTACCCATAGCATTGGAGGGTGAAGAGGAGCTGCCATCTGAGAGCACTGTCCAGGGTCCAGAGAGCCATATCCTGGGGCTCTCCTAATTGCCCCAGAAAATGTGGGGCCCAGCCTGACTTGGCTATACCCAGACAGGCAGGTGAAGGCTGCCCTGTTTGTTCCTGAGATTTGCTCTTTAAAAACAAAGGACAAGATTAGATGCTCCACTGGTCTAGTAAGCAAGATTAAATATCAGCAAAAGGTAGGAAAATGTGTATTCACATGCTCATGAAATGTGAAAATTTGGAGAATTGGCAATACCTAATAAAGCTGATGATCCAGATAGGAAATTGCAGAATGAAATGTTCAAGACACCATTTTTGTAAACCTGAAATCACAAAGTATGTTCTCAGATATAAGAATATACTTTTAGCATCACATTCATGCGAAAGTATAAAAACCTAAATGAAAAGAACATGCTCCTGAGGACATTCTATTCTTTATTAAAATTGAAAAGACCTTGCCAAACTGACTTATATCCCTGACAGTGGGAACACAGTAATGAAAAATAAAGAGAATCTCATTTTTGTTGCTTATTAAACCTGAAGCAAATATGACAAAAGTCCTAACAATCAACCTTCTGGTAAGTTATATATATTTTTAAAGTCTCTCAGTAAAACCACCAAAACTCCATGCAAATCAGCTCAAACAAAACTGGAGGCCACAGTGAAAGCAAAGCACCCCTGACCTTTAGTGAAGGGTTATTGAATACTAACTACCACCAGGATAATCTCGCCCCCTCAACTGGAATGGTGATCTAGAGATAAATTTAGAAACAAGAAATGGTAGGTGGAGGTCACAGCAAGGTTCGGAGTCTGAGACCTCCCTCCCTCAGCCCTGCCAAGAGGCTTGAAACTGTCCTCTGATTGGTGAACTTTGACCCCTGATTTGCATAGGGCTTCTGTCAGCACCCCTTGGGAGGTTTGGTGGTGGTGGTGGTGGTGGTGGTGGTGGTGGTGGTGGTGGTGGTTTTGAGCCAACCTGCCCTCTGGGTTGGCTCAAAGCCTGCTTCCACACAGCTGCACAGGACAGCATTATGCAGGGTCTGAATGCCCAAGAGTTAAAAGTGAATCAGCCCTGGTGCTTCTCAAGATTTCATTGGTTTCTTCCCCTGGGATCCCTGGGAAGGCCCTCTCCTAGCATACCACAGCCCCACATTGGGGGCACACTCTCACACACTCACATGTGTGCTTAATCGCCAGGTATGGCACCTGGTTAATGCCTGTGGCTCCTTGCAGAGCACAGGACAGGACATGTAATAAAATGCTCACATTCATTTAACAAATATTTGCACACCTTCGGTTAACATTGGTAAAACAAAACAGTGAAAAAGCGGTCTCTGCTTTCATGGAATTAATGATCTGGGTGATAGAGGAACAATAGATAACTACTCCAAATAACTAAAAAACCATAAAGTGACTCAGTGCCAAGGAGTAGCCTGCAGAGCAAATCCTAGGGTCTCTGACTAGGCTGGGACAGATAGTCAGCTCCCACCTGCACCACAAGCCCAAGTCATCCTCTGTGTCCTGCTCTACCCAGAGGCTAGGGATCTGAATAAGGCTTGGAGGGCTAGGGCTTTGGGATTTTTCTTCACCCAGAAAAATCTATGCTCCCTGTGTAAGGACGAGGTCTTTGCCTCTGTACCCCATTCTCCCACAAGTCCCTTGTGTTTGGCAGGTATGCATTCAGGTAGATTTTAAGCTACAGGATTCAGACAACTTCTAAGATTGAGAGAAAAGAGACTCAACAAAGAACTCTCCATCCATCCTTTTTTATTGTTTCCAAAAAAGCAGTTTTGTCCACAGAAAGCCCCAAACAGTAAGATCCAAAACTACCCCCACCAATAGCATTTTTGGAAATGTAGACAGTTTACCAAATACAATTTATTCAGAAAAAAAAAATGTGTTAAGAACTTAATTCCAAAAGACTGAAAGAGTCCAAAGGCTGAATAAAAAACAGCCTTTTACTAAGCAGCACTAGGTAAGGTTTGTGCTGAGAACTGCCAGCTGGGTTAGGCTTTGAGGGAAGACTCCAACCAGTCCTACAAAGAGAAAACTGCAGGCATAATGAACCCCTGTGAGTTGATGGAGGTGGACCCTCCCCTTCCCAGCTGCCCATAACCCCACTGTGGGTTCCTGGTCATAGCCAGGATAGCCACTCCCCCATAAACCCACAACTGTTAACCAACGCTGTGTTATACCTCCTCCCAAAGCAAATACATATATACACAATGCCAGAATCTGTTATCAAAAATAGTATCCAGTGCAGCAAACCATGACCTTAGTCTCTCAAAGCCCTTTATTACTGGCTGTGAGGTCGCTTAGCCACTGGCTCCTCCTCTTTCTCCTTTTTCAGCCATCGCTCCAGGAGTCTAGCACTGCCTCTCTTGGTGGGGAATGGGCTCTTTTGCAGGAACTGGCTGGACCATTGGGACACATCTAACTCTGCCTTTTGGGATGTTTTGGGGTTTTCCTTTTTGGGTGACTTTGTGGCCAGCCACTGCAACATCTTCTGGCTGCTGCCACTTGCCTTGAGCTCCTAGGAAAAAGACAAAAAAGCTCAACCCATTCAGCTCAAGCTTTTGGCAAAAGGACAACTCCAAGAAAAGAAATACAGAAGAGGCATGAGGTACTGAATGAGATTTAGAAAATGTTACTGAGGGCCAGACAGGGCCCACTAGTCAGGAGAGGGAAGAAAGGAGCAACTGAGCGTGCTCCGAGGGGTATAAATGGTAGGGAGTAGCTCTTAGAGAAGGCTTCATGGAGGTATGTGGGGCCATTCAGAGAAGAGCTGTGACAGGCATTCAAACGTGCAGAGAATTAAGCATTCTCAGGGAAAAGAATGTAATTCAGTGACCAGGTAGCAAGTTGGGAAATAAAGCTGGGGAGATATGGCTTCAAACAGCCTCCATAATTAGGGATTCAGTTTAAGGTTGAACAGGCTGTTTCCCTACCATGTTGCCAGCCCCTCTGCACAGCCTCTTCTTGCTCGGCACTGCTCGTTTGCTTCCCTTACTGGCACTCCTACCCTGAACTGAGGGTTCTGAATTCGCATAATGCCACCTCTCCAAAATGTGAATTCTGTTGAGGTAAAGACCATGGCTGCAATGGGGCAGTGTCCAATGTAAAATGAATTATTTTTAGAGACATATAATTAAAAGCAGTATCAGGGCTGCAGAAGTTTGCAGTGAAATGAGACAAAAGAAAATAAGATGATGCTGACTGAGGATGTGGAAAACTTTAAAAACTTAAAGAAAAATGGGGGATGGGGATAGCTGCTCTTGCATTCATCGTCCTTAACACTGCTCAGGCATTCTAAGATGCCTATTCTTGGAACACTCAGAGCCATGTCCTACTTCAGATCCCTCTATGCCACCTAAAAACAGTGTGACTCCTAAACCTTTATCCTTGAATGTCAGGGGCGTTTTTTGCTCTGAAGCTCCCCTACCCAGTGCAGATCATTTGCTTGTTCAACTTCCCTTCGAAATACAGCTTTAGGATCCTTTCCAAATCTAAGAAGTTAAAGTTTATGGCAGGTATGTTCTCCAATTGTCCCGAAGCAGAACAAGAATTGGAACTTCTCCAACTTGTGATTGGGAAATCAAAAATAACACAGTTGGTTATAGACAGAGATACACTTGTGGTCAAGGGCTCCTTTGTTTTTCTCAAAATCACCCTCTAGGTTAGAAGCCCTCAAACTTGACTATAGTACCAGACTCACGAAGAGCTTCTCAATCACAGAAAAATCCAAGCTCACTCCTGAATACCTATTAACTCAGTAGGTCTAGATAGGGTCTGGCATTTATGTTTCGAAGAACTCTCTTGGGAACTCTAAGTTACAGCCAACTTTTTTTTCTTTTTAAATCCTCACTCAAGAATATTTTTCATTTATTTTAGAGACAGGGGATGGCGGGGGGGCGGAGAGAGAGAAACATTGACTGGTTGTCTCCTGAATGAACCTACAACCTAGGTATGTGCCCTGATTGGGGACTGAACCCACAACCTGTTGGTATGTGGGACAATGCTCCAACTAACTGAGCCACACTGGCCACGGCACAGCCAGCTTTGAATCACTGCTCTGCTCACCCTTGCTATAAGGAACATGAGTTTTGAGTGGTTTAAATTAAAACTCTAATTGTAAATGGGCATATCCTAAAAGAAAATGCTAAACTGGCAGAAGCAAGCTCAAAAAGGACTGTCAGTTACAGGCCCCTACCTTTTTAACCAGTAAGTCCACAGGAATCAGACACTCAGGGGTGTTGTTTTTGGAGCTGTTCACCACGTGAGAGACGGGATGGAAGATGATGTTCTCTGTGGGACGGATTAACTTCAGAGCTTCCTGAGTTGAGACCTTACCAAAGTCAAGCCATTTAGAGACTGCTTCCTCTCCATCTAATATGGCAGGCATCCTAGCCAGTCAAGACATTGGTTAGAAGAGGCAGAGTGAGGGTTGGGAGAGAAGGGAGAGAGACTTGAGTCAGTTGATAGCACAAATCACCACAAGGAGAAGCTCGCCCTCCCTCTGTGCCTCACATACTGATTGCTGCCACATGCTCCCTGACCACAACTTAACAGGGCATGAAATTCAACACTAGGACAGCCAACTTATAAAGTTTTAAGGCAAAGACAATGAATAGTAATTATGAGTGGGTCCAGTGCACTCCAGTGAACACATTAGCAAACTGGTGACTTTTCTATGATGCCCCAGGCTAGAATTAAAGTCGAAATAGATCCTTGAAAACTTGTCTGTCAACAATAATCTCCAGCCTTACAACCTATGACAGATTTACAGTAAGCAAGAGTTATTCACATAACTCTGAACAAAAGGAAGTTATGCTGCTGAAAGCAAAGAGGCTGTAAGATGACACCTGGTACTAAGGAAGATGTTAGGAAAAGATAGTTTGTTTAGCTTCCAGCTTTATGTCTTAGGCCAATGCAAAACATGGTACACACTTCATTGGTGAGTGGTACCAATGATTTTAGGAGATAAATGCACAGGCATCTATTTTAATCATTATTCTTATTTCAAAAAGTTGAATGTACCTAAAAAATATTTTATAGGGAATAGGTAAACATTATGCTCACCTCCTTCCACAACCACATCAAAATTAGAACTAAACTTAGAACATTCACCCTTGAGAACCACCTGAAGGCTAGCTGAACAGAACTCCCATCATTAAGGATATAGAAGCCACCTTGAGAATGGTAATGGGCAGAAATGAGCAGGCTGCACACCCATATGTAGTGGTTAAGAATAGGGAAGGATATCTTGACTGTGGAGGCTCCCACTGAGGAATGAAGGGTCCCAGCCCCACACCACGCTTCCCAGTCCCACACAGGCTTTGTAGCCTTTGAGAAGCAGTGCTAGAAGAGGAGTTACCACAACAGCTGGCTGTGAGAATTAGCAGGAACTCAGTCCAGGTGAAATGAAGGGCTGCCTGCTGTAGACCCAGGCATCCTTTTAAAGGGCCTGCACATAGACTCACTTGTTCACAAACACTCGCCCTAAGCTCAAGAAAAGGGACAGAAGCTCAAAAGCACCAGAGATATACAAGGAGGGACTGAACTGTCTGACTTCAAGGAGAAGGCTGGAGGGGCAGCTACATTGGGGACTAAAATGCCAGCAGGTGACATTTTTCCTTTGTAAAGCCCTCACCTCAAACAACTGGAGAGATACCAAATATGAGTTGCCAAATCTGAGTTTCTATTAACTTGGATAACACTGCTGTTGCCCCAGGCTGGTAATTCTGAGACCCTGCCCCAATGCACAGGCCTGGCCTGTGCCGTAGACTTCCCTAAAATCTCTCAAAAGTCTATAAAACCCAAAAAAGCAGCAGTTGGTCTTGGCGTGCCCTGTACCACTTGCAAAGTGATCCCAACCTTGTTACTAGTGGCCACTGGCCTAGGTTCACAGCATAACTACTCTTAGGATCCATCAAGCTCTGTACAGGCAGCTACCAAATGTAAATCACTTTGTAACTCCTACCAGGCTGGGCACAGGCAGTAACTAACCTTGGTCTGCATCAGAGTCCCCTCCCAAGAATCCCCAGAGCCAACACATCCAGTGGCTGGCTTCAGACAACACCAGAGTAGCACCCAATTAGCACAATAAAAAAACAGACCCAAAGGGCAGGCTTGTCAGGCAAGCCCTGACAAGTGACAAGCCCTGCTAAAGTAAATCCTGCTCTGTGGGGTCAGCATCCCCCGCCCCACAACAGCTCATCACTCTGGTCACAGACAGTCAGCCTGAAAGTCAATCCTACCCACTTATGCGCCAATAGCAATGAGGCATCAACTATAGTAAAAGAACACATGCAACCCACACAAGGGACACCTTTGGAGCATCTGGTTTAGGTGAACAGGGAGACAAATTGACTATAACTGTATTTTGCAAAGCAACTGTCTTAGTTTCCTACTGTCTAAATTTGTACATACAGAAACTTTAAATTCCAAAAGCAGCTTATCTGAAAGCAAAGAGAACAAACTCTCCTGTGAATCCTTTTGGAGCCAGGGATAGGAAGTGTGACTTGCCTATGGTGGATGTCATTCAAGCCTTTGCAGGAATCCACTGTGATGATGGTGTAGGAATACAGGCAGTCTCCTCCCTCTGGTGGCTCCCAGCAGTCAAAGATCCCGGCCATTGTTAGAGGCCTCCAGTTGTCCCAGACTTTCTCCCAGTCCTCAGGACTGTGTGCAGCACCAGTGCTGCCAGACTGGAAGCAAATACATGGGGAGATTAGACATTCAACAACCTTCTTCTACATGCAACTCAGGCACTACTACAGACTTAAGAGCACTACAATCATTTTAGAAGTAATAGTCTATGCCTTATTAATCCCCCTTTCAAAGGAAAGAGGGTTAGTGGCACATATCCATCAAAGCCATCTACAGATTTAGGGCTCTTTCATTATTTTCAGAATACAAATTAATACCTTCACTAGGCATTCAGGCTTTCTATGATCTGGCCCATCATTCTAGCGTTCACTTACCATGTTAATCTGAACCTGCTGTTTGTGAATGAAGCTACCATGCTGTTTTGTTCCCACTGTCTTGCTGAAACAACATTCCCCTGTCCAAAATGCCCTTCCCACTCTTTCTTATCGTGCTAATACCTACTTGCCAATTGAGATTCAGTTCAAGGCCTAGAATACAGAAAGCTAGAGAGTGTCACCTTCACCTTAAACAATAAGACAAAAGGCTAGATAACCTATCAAATCATAACTTTTATTAAATTTATTAGAGAACTGAGGTCACAGGGCAACCAATTAACCTGAACTTCAGGGAAAGACAGGGGCCTCCAAGGGGAGATCAGATACAAGCACTGGCTTACCAGTGACAACATGGAGAAGGCAAGTCCTTCATACAGTAGGTAAGAATTCAGCTAAAATTATTATTGAATTGCTAATGCAGAGTATGGGCTAGCCTGAGAGTACAGAATCCCTGGGAAGTACAGACACACCAGGGGCATTTGCATCAGCTTGTGGACTCTTCTCCACAGACCTCTCGGGTGTTCACAAGAAAGACTGGGGGTGGGGCAAGAGACTAGAGAAAGCCTTCCTTGCTGGTGCATGCCTAGAGAAGGGAAGCTCTCCTGCTTCAGGAAAGGCATGTAGCTTTACCTGGTCACTTTTCCTCTAAGGAATAAAAGACTTAATGAGTCAGGGAAGGGTAATAAACCCTATCACCCCTAAGATACAGATAAAGACTCACTGAGGCTGGAGAAGGGTAAAAGAAAAAAACCTCTACTCCCTTGGGGAAGGAGCAAAATTGCTAAGAAAGGATGAGACTGAGAGCTAGTGCTATAGTTCTGCCAAAGACTGAGGTTGAATGAGGACAAGAAAAAACACTCTTCACCCCCCTTGAGACTGGTGGCACCAAGTGACAAGCAACAGCAGTCTAATTCTGGATAAGAGGGCAAGGGCATGGGGAGGTCCCCTCTAAGGCACAAGATCAAAGGAAATACTACAGCTGAAATAAGCAGGGCTACTGAGGAAAACTCTCTGGAAAATCAACCCTTACTCTAAATACAAGGTGACACCAGTGAAATTTAAAACCAGTGGCGAACAAAGGTAATCATAAAAACAAAACCCAAATCCAGGTGAGCTGATAATATCCACTCAATCTCACATGTTAATGGAGTAATAGAAGAATAAGTGTATCCATTTCCAGGCATAAGTGTTATTCATCTCAGTCTCTGTGCTACATACTATGGCAATCAATGAAAAATTACAACACACATAGAAAAAGCCAAACCAAACAAACAAAACAAAACAACAGCAACCAATCAACTCCCAAGAGATACAGAAATCAACAGAATCAGGCTCAAGAGATTACATTTCCCAAATGCTGAAAATATCAGGGAATTTAAAGTAAGCATAAGTAATATGTTAAAGGCTCCTGTGGAAAAGGTAGACTACATGTATGCACAGTTAAGGAATTTCGGCAAAATTAGAAAGAATCACAGGTCAATAAAAATTCCAGACTGAAACATGGAGAAAAATTAATGAAGCACACAGAAAAGAACAGCCAAAAACTATGAACAATATCAAATTGTCTAATATGTGTGTACTTAGAATCCCAGAAAAAGAAAAAAAAAATGTGGCAAAGAAGTATTTGAGGTCCCTGCCTGAGCGGAATAGCTGCTGCCACGTGGGGGATGGGTCAGCACCAGGATCCTGCTGGCTGCTCTCTCAGTTCTCTCCCCGGGCCCTCCTTCCCCAGTCTCTCCTCAGGTCTATCTGGCCTGCTCTGCCCCTGCCTTTGCCGGAGCCCAGGGGTGTTGACTCTAGAGAACTTTGATGAGACCCAAGAGCTGCTAATGAGACTCATCTTCAAGACCCTGAAGGAAATATTTCAGAAAGCTTGACACGGGGTGGGGGGGGGGCGGGGGAGGGGCGGTACTAAGCTAATATATGGAGAACAGATGATCAACATTCTACATATAAGCTTCTGGAGAATGGAAGATACCCATTGCAACCTTCTCTTCTCAGGTGTCATTTTCTTCCTGACCAGAGTTCCAACCTCTTCATTTTTCTACACACTTCATTTTCCAGTCAATTATTTCATGTACTACATTGGATTTAAAAAATAAAGTGTTTTTCTTAAAAAAAAAAAAAAAAAAAAGCAACACATGCAGATAATTAAAATTCTAACAGTACAAAAGCATATGCAGAGAAAGTGAGTTTCCCTCCCATTGAAGGCCTCTCAGCCTCCTTTTTTTTATTTAATAAAGTTTTATTTTTCAAAATGTAAAAAAAAAGAAATATTTGAATAATATTTGAGAATTTTCCAAAAATTATGAAAGACTCAAGAGAAGCTCAGAGAACATGCCAAATACACAGACACAAACACATACACACCCTCTACACACACCATATTTAAATTGCTAAAAACCAAAGAGAAAATCTTTCAAAAAATCTTAAATGCATTGGGGTGTTACTGCATGCAGGGGGTGGTGTGGGGAGCCCCCACCCAGAGTCAGATCTGGAATGATATACTCCAGCCACCTTCAGGAGGGAGGCCGAGGGCCCCTGGAAGTGGACACCCCTCCCCACACACCTGCAAAGGCCCCTCTCAGCAGTAATAAAGCTTGTGTCCCAGGCCGGGGAAAAAAAATTCATTGGGGAAATGAAGTTGTGGTGGAAGTACACATTACAAACAGGAAAAACAAGCCACAAAAAAACCACAAAAATTACAGTAGACTTCTCAAAAGAAACTATGAAAGCCAGACACAATTAAGTACATTTTTAAAGTTCTGAAAGAAAAACCAAAAAACTGACAACCATAAATTCTAAACACAATGAAAATACCTATAAAAAATGCATATAGTGGGCCCTGACTGGTGTGGCTCAGTGGGTTGGGCATCATCCAGCAAACCAAAAGGTCACTGGTTTGATTCCTGGTCAGGGCACATGCCTGGATTGCAGGCCAGGTCCCCAGTTGGGGGTGCGGAAGAAGCAACGAATAGATGTTTCCCTCTCTTACATCCATGTTTCTCTCCCTCTCTTTCTCCCTCCCTTACCCTCTCTCTAAAAATAAAATCTTTTTTAAAAATGCAGATAGTGGTTGCCACGTGCTGGGTGCAAGGAGTAACTAATAATGGTAAGGAGTTTTTCAGGGTGGGATAATAATGTTCTGAAGTTAGTGATAATGGTCGCCCAACATTTTGAATAAACTAAAACCACTATATACTCTAAAAGGGTAAATTTTATGGTATACAAATTATATCTCACTAAAGAAAATCATGATTATTAAAAAAATGAAAAACTAGTTTTTCTGACAAAAAAATAGCATCCATTAGCAGCAGACCCGTGTTACACAAAGTATTAAAGTTCTTTTTTTTTTTTCTTAATTTATTTACTTTTTAAATACATTTGTCTCTGCCTCCCCCCCACCTCTTTCCCTTGCCCCCTCCCACCTTCCCTCTAAAGGGAAGTTCTTTAGGCAGAAAGAATATGATACTAGATAGAAACCTGGATACATACAAAGAAGTGAAGACCCATGGAAATGGCTAACATGAAAGTAAATGTAAAATTTCCTTTTTTTAATCACTCTAAACTATAATTGACTGTCCCAAACAGTAGCAATATATTATGAATTTAAAGCATATGAAAAAGCATAACAATATACCAAGAGGTGGGAGGAACTGGGAATACAGATTAGTTAAGTCCTTACACTACATAAGAAGCAGTATATTATTTGAAAGGAGATAGTAATTTAAAATGTAATTATAGAGTAGCTAGTAAAACACTTTTTTAAAAAGCAAAAATAATAAGCCAATGGTGGATAAAAGGAAATCTTAAAAAAACAAAACAAAACACCAAAATACCTCAATCCAAAAGCAGGCAGAAAAAATAGGAGAAAAGGAAAAAAAAAGAGTTGATGAAACAAGTAGAAAACAACTAACAGAATAATAAATTTTTAAGATACTATATATAAATAATTAAATGTAAATGTTTTAAACTCAAATTAAAAGAGTGATTTTCAAATTGGGTAAAAAAAAAAAAGTGAGTCCAACTATTTGCAGTTTCAAAAATTCCCTCCTCTGGGAAGCTGTCTATGATGCCCCATTCTGAACTATATTCTCTGTGCTCCATAACCTCATGAGCATATCTTCCATGAGCATTCAACCACTAGTCTGCAACTGTTGACCTGTCTGTTTTAGTAGTTAAGCCTTGAGGATAGAAATCATGTTTCACTGAACTTCCAGTAGCTTAGCAGAAAACATGGTATATGCTTAACAAATGTCCACTGAATAGCCATATATTTTCATAGGCAAGAGAATAACTGTAGAGGATTGAGGAAAGTGCCCTTGTAATCCACACAAGTGCCTAACAGTCTCTCTAAAAAACAGTGCCAGAGGAAAATTCTATTTTCGGATACACAAGTCCTAGTTTAAGGGTGGAGAAGCAGAGGAATGGAAATCTTATTGGATGGTTCCCTCAAGAAACAGCCCCAGCAGTTTTGACTTATATTTAATTTTAAATGGAAAAAATCACAGTAGAGAATCTAGGAAGATGGCAGCCTGAATACACAGCCCTAACGTCATCCCTAGAATAACAAAAAACCCAGGACAAGCATGCTGGCACCTCTAAAACAAGAGTAAGGGCCACTGGTGTGAAGAAAGTCTAGGGGAAGGACTATGCATTTAGCAGCTCCCTGAAGAAGGTAGAAAGAAGCCTGAGGATTCTCTCAGTGGAGTCATACATGTTTACTTGCTATGCAGGGTCCTTAGAGAGGCTCATCTCTTAGGTTGGGAGAGAAGTGGCTGTAAAGAGGCTTCTTTCCCTTTCCTTGGAAGATGTGTAACACTAATTTGCCACTGTTGTAAACTCCTATTATATAGTAGGGTATATCGAGGAATGCACTATGACAAGCTGGTAAAGAAAAATTCTACCTATCTAGAGGAACTAAGTAAATGGAAGAGAAGACACTAAGTTAATAAAAGTAGACTTAATGGGAGAAAGAAAATAATTAACAAAAAGGTAATGAAAGTATTCAGTGAATAGACACTGGGAAAAAGAAAATCAAATCCTTACTGTATTCCTTGGACAAAGCTAAACCTGAATGGATGATTTGGCAATCCTGGTACATTTCTGTTGTCCATTTATCAATAATCATTCAAAACTTTTTCCACTATTCTCAAATATCTGACACTATCTCCCCACCTCAATCTCAGCTGATGACTTTGCTTCCTATTTCACTGGCAGAAGAGAAGCATTCAGAAGAAAGCTTCCACATGCTTCTTAATGCTTTTCCCACCTGCCAAATATGTGGTCTTCTGTCCACTTTCTAATGGTCTATGCCTTTTGCTAGGTCCACTTCTCCACTGGTGCAATCACATCCCTCTAGTGACTTACACTTTCCCCTGTTCTCTACTGGATTATTTCCAATAGCTTACTGAAGTATTGTTATTTCCAATTGTTTGTTGCTAATATATAGAAATAGTGTTGATTTGTATATACATAGACCTGAGGATAAAATTTCCTAAGGTACTTGCATTGAGGTAAAAGTATTACTTAATATCAGACTTAGGAATATATTTAACCACAGAGGTACAAGACTTGTACACTGAAAACTATAAAATATTTTTGAAAGAAATTAAAGACCTAAATAAATGGAAAGGCACTCTGTGTTCACAGACGGCAAAATGGGCAATACCTCATACTGATCTACAGGTTCAATGCAAATTCTATTAAAATCCCAACTGCCCTTTTTTTTTCTAAAGATTTTTTTTTTTTATTTTTAGAGAGGGGAAGGAAGGGAGAAAGAGAGAGAGAGAAACATCAATGTGTGATTGCCTCTCACACACCTGCTACTGGGGACCTGGCCCACAACCCAGGCATGTGCCCTGACTGGGAATCAAACAGCGACCCTTTGGTTTGCAGGCCAGCGGTCAGTCCACTAAGCCACACCAGCCAGGGCTCCAGTTGCCCTTTTTGCAGAAAGAGATAAGCTGATCCTAAAATTTATATGGCACTTCAAAAAAACCCAAATAACCAAAACAATCTTGAAAGAGAAGAACAAAGTTGGAGTAGTCAAACTTCTCCATTTAAAAACTTACTACAAAGCTAGAGTGTAATATTGCATAAAAATAGACATATAAATCAATGGGATAGAATCTAGAGTCCACATATAAACTTATACATCTATAATAAATTAATTTTTGACTGGGTTCCAAGGCTGTGCAATGGGGACAGAACTGTCTTTTCAGCAAATGGTGCTGGGACAACTGGATAACCGCATACAAAAGAATGAGGTTGAAACTCTATCTCACACCATATACAAAGATTAATTAAAAATAGATCAAAGATCTAAATATAAAGCTAAAACTACAAAACCTTTAGAAGAAAACAGATGGGTAAAAATCTTCATGGCCTTGAGTTTGGCAATGGTTTGTTTTTTTTTTAATTAAAAAAAAAAATCCTAGCTCGAGGATATATTTATTGATTCCAGAGAGGAAGAGAGAGAGAGAACCATGTGAGAGAGAAACATTATCAGCTGCCTCCCATACATCTCTCTACCAGGGATTGAACCTGCAACCTTTTGGTATACAGGATAATGCTCCAACTAACTGTGCCACCAGGCCAGGGCACAATGGAATCTTAAATATGACACCACAGGCACAAACAATGAAGGAAAAAAACAAATACACTGGAATTCATTAAAATTTAAAACTTTTGTGCTTTAAGGACACTATCAAGATAGTAAGACAACTCACAGAGCTCGGGTCAGTGTGGCTCAATTGGATGGAGCATCAACCCACACACACATAAAGGTTGCAGGTTTGATTTCTGGTGAGAGCACATACGTAGGTTGCAGGTTTGATCTCTGGTCGGGGTGCACATGGGTGGCAACCAACTGATGTTTTTCTTTCACAATGATGCTTCTCTCTGTCTCTCTCTCTCTCTCTCTCTCTCCATCCCCCTTCCTCTTCCGCCCCCCCTTCCCCTCTCTCTAAAAGCAATGAAAAAATGTCGAGTGAGGTTAAAAAAAAAAGAAATGAAAGAAAATATTTGCAAATCATATATTTGGAAAAACTCTAGTATCCAGACTACATAAAGAAGGCTTACAACTCAACAAAAAGCAAACAATTCAATTTAAAGGACTTGAGTAGATATTTTTCCAAAGAAAATATACAAATGGCAACAGGAATATTAAAAAATGATCAGATGTCATTAGTCACTAGCAGAATGCAGATAAAAGCCACAATAAGCCCTGGCTGGTGTGGCCCAGCAGATCGAGTACCAGCCTGCAAACCAAAAGGTCACCATTCAATTCCCGGTCAAGGCACATGCCTTGGTTATGGGCCAGGTCCTCAGTTGGGGGGCGTGCGAGAGGCAACCAAAGAATGTTTCTCTCACACATCAATGTTTCTCTCCCTTCCTCTTTCTCTTTGCCCTCTCTCTAAAAATAAATAAATCAATAAAATCTTTTTTTAAAAAATCTATGAGGGAAGAAAAAATGCCCTTCTTTGGATTAGTTTCTCTGTACCCTTCTAAATATTTACTGTGAGTGCTGATGATGATACCTCTTCTGTTTTTATTTGGGGGAAGTAGATGAAGTATGGCTGTCTCTGGCTTGTTCTCTGACATCGCTGCCACTCATAGAATCCATCTGCTAAAACAACACAGCGTCTCCCCTTTACCAGAGGCACCTGAGGGAAAATGTGAACAAGATATAGTCTTAGTGATAGAATCAGGTTTTGTGAACTTCAGTTAAAATCTTAAGTCTACCAATGTATAAACTTGGAGTGGCTATTTAATTTCTCTGTACCTCACTTTTCATATGGATAAAGTCACCACTCACACAGATGTTGAAAAGATTAAATAATGTACACAACAGCAATAGTTGGCTACCTAATTAGCCATACATCCCAGTATTCACATCCCATGGAGTTCCCTCCCACACTGATTTAGGGCTCGGCCAACTGAATACCATACAAGTAATGCTGTACAACTTCCAAGGCTAGGTCACAAAGCCTTGCAGCTTCTGCCCTGCTGTCTTGGATTTTGAGCTTCGGGTTAGCCAGATGCCAAGTAAGAAGCCTGACTACCCTGACAACCCCCAGCTAGACTTGTGGAAAAGCTTCCAGTTGCTCTACCCAGCCCCGCTGAGGTGTCAGACAGGTGGGTGAAGAAGCCACCTTAGATATCCAGCCCCAGCTGTTATCTGATTATAACTACACAAGAACTTGCAAGTGAAAACTGTCTACTTGAGGCCAGTCAACCCACAGAATAAAAGAAATAATATAGTATAAATAGTTGATTTGTTTTAAACTGTTAAATTTTGGCATGGTTTGTTACACAGTAATAAATAAAACAGCACTCAACATGAACAACAGAGAACACAATTTGAGACCTTAAAGGAGGTTCCAAAGAGAACCTTATTTTATTTTTCAGGGATAAAAGGCACTAACAGCTCTGTTCAAAAAAAGAACAGAATAGGTCTTTTCCCTAGATAAGCTACCTACCTTGAAGGACGGTTTCTCCATGATGGTATCACTACGACAGTTGCTAGTGTTGAACTGCAGTTTGGAAGGATCACCTTCTTTGAACCAAGATGGGACCAAGCCCCATCGCATGGTAGCAATGATACGCTCAGATGAGTCTGCACCCTGCAATGGAAAAAGGTTAAGATCCAATAAGGAGATCATAAACTTAATAAATCAAATTTAGCACATGCATTACGTTACTATTAGTATCAAATACAAAGGAGAGAGATTATTAAAAGAGAAAGATTCTACTTGAAAACAATTTTAGAGATTTATCACTGTGTAACTCGTGTTCTTTAAGAATCATATTTATTAGAATGTAAGATGTGCTGCTTGGGTAGAGTAGGGGATACAAAGAGGTTTTGTTCCTGCAAACATTTAATTGGTGCCTACTAAGGGAGCGACATAGTGCTAGGCTCTGCACTTTATGTGGTCCCAGCTCTCAAGAGTCACATGTTATACACAACACAATGAGGTACAAGCTGTGATTAAGGGATACACAGGGAGCTATACGGGAATGCTTAGCCTTAATGGGCTTACATTCTAACATGTGAGCCCACATAGACATAAAAATAGTAGGCTAAGGGCCGAATAAGTGGTACATACAATGAGTGTCATAGCAGTTTTGTGGAGAGTGATCTGTGAGGGATGGAATGGAGAAGTATCAGCTCCTTAGAAGGGGCAGATGTGGCAGGGGTAGAATAAGATGGTTCTTAAACTGGGTCCTATAAGCTGTACAGGATTTAGACAGAGAAGAGACAGGAGGAAAGACCAGATATGAAATGATATAAGCAAAGAAGCCATATCAAGCATATGCAGAAAGTAGCTCTGGCTGGTGGGGCTCAGTGGATTGAGCACCAGCCTGCAAACCAAAAGGTTGCTGGTTCAGTTCCCAGTCATGACACATGCCTGGGTTGTGGCCCAGGCTCCCAGCTGGGAGTGGCAAGATTGATGTATCATGTTTATCTCCTTCTTTCTCTCTCCCTTCCCCCTCTCTAAAAATAAACAAATAAAATATTTTATAAAAAATAAAAGAATATGCAGGAAGTGGTTTTGTGCACAAAAGCAAATGTGACGATGCTATTTTTAGGAGGGCCTGCTTATAAAGATTGGCTTTCAGTTAGCATCTGGGAAACAATATTTCGAGTGTTCCCACCTTTCTCTTACTGATAAGAATGGTTTATTGTGACTAATTTGTTTGTGCAAAAATTAGGTTTATGCTGAACACCCACTTTCCTTCTGGGATTCTGGAATTTTAGTACTTGCTAAGCAGAGAGAACTTACATGACCAGTCCCCAATAAACGCCTGGGTCCCTGAGTTTCTAATGGGTTTCCCGTGGGCAGAAAAACTGCACATGTTACATTTTTCATTGCTGGAGAAGCAATGGACTTAGTTTGTTCCTTCGCGAGAACACAGTAAGCATGTACACGAAATTGTCCAGATTTCAACTTGTGTATTTTTCCCATACTGATTCTAATTTGTGCCTCCTTTCAGTGTAATAAAGCTTAGCCACAATATGCCTTATATGTTGAGTCCTTCTGATGAATCTCCAAACGTGGGGGTAGTCTTGGGGTCACCCAACACATGGTTAAGCTTTATTTTTGGCATTTGTCCCTTGAGAATTTGAAGAAGTCTACAGATTAAACAGCATATACACACTATTCTGCATGGCACAGTACACCGTGGTTTGGAAGAAACCAGTAGTAGAGAGTGCATTTTGGGTACTACCACAATAGTTCAGAAATTTGGTGATAAGGATACAGTAGCTCTGGTGACAGTAGAGAGAATAAGAGACAACCCACACCGGCTGGTGTGGCTCAGTGGATTGAGCACCAGACTGTGAACCAAAGGGTCACTGATTCGATCCCAGTGAGGGCACAAGCCTGGGTTGCGGGCCAGGTCCCCAGTAGGGGGTGCACAAGAGGCAACCACACATTGATGTTTCTCTCTCTCTTCTCCTTCTCTTCCCCTCTCTCTAAAAATAAGTAAATGAAATCTTTAAAAAAAAAAAAAAAGGCATCCAAAATATAGAAAAAATAAAATTGTGGTGCAATCATAAAAAGAAAACAGGGATGATTAAGTTTTCAGGCCCAGAAGACTGAAATAATGATGGCACTATGAACAAAAACTCTGAAGATTGTGATTTAGGAAAAGATCATGTGTTGACTTTCTGATAATAGTGGCAAGACTCTGGCAGTTTAAGGAAATGGTTGATAAGTCTTTACCATTTTCCCCTTGAGAGCTGGGGTCTATGTGACTTGCAGAATGTGGCAAAGCGACACTGATCTCTAAGGCTAAGTCAGAAAAGGTTTTTCAGCTTCCTCCTTATTTGCTCAGACATCACTTTTAGAACTCTGAGCTGAAATGTAAGAAATCCAATTACCCTAATTGCCAGCATGTGAAAAAGCCCAGGCTGTGTGCAGACGCCACTTGAAGGTACTCTGAACAACAGCCCAGGTTAAGAGGCAATGTCGACCACCAGATAAGTGACTTAAGATGCCTCTACATCAGATGCTGGCAAACTTTTCTATAAAAGGTGAGATATTAAATATTTTGCAGGCCTAACAGTCTCTGTTGCAACTATAACTGCTGTTGTAGGGACAAGGCATACATAGACAATAGATAAATAAAAGGACATTGCTGTAGGACATACAATTTCATTTACAAAAATGGTCAGAGGGCCCTAGTTGTCTGACTCCTGCTTTAGATTATTCTAGGCCCAGATGCCAAGTCTTTTCAGCTGAGACCCCAGACTTCAGGGAAGAGACAAATCATATCTGCAATGCTTTGTCTTAATTCCTCCTAACGAACGTAATCAAGGTTACTTTAAGTCACTATGATAAAATCCAAATAAGAGCTATTTACTATGTCCAAAAGTGTGTGGACTTAAAGCTTTGGAGACAGGCAGCATGGTAGAGAGAATGGGTCACCAAACCTTAGCTCTAGTGGTCCAGACAGTATATATTTTTGGCTTTCTGAGTCCATATAAGTCTCTGCTGCAATGACTCAAGCAACTCTGCCACCATTGGTATTGTGAAAGCAGCCAAAGAACAAGTGAATGAGTGTGGTTGTGTTCTAATAAAACTTTATTTACAAAAACAGGCAGTAGGTCAGATTTGGTCTGAGGACCATAGTTTGCCAACCTCTGGTACAGAGGAAAATATAAGTCCTTTGTAAGACCCTGGTTAAAAAATCCCTTCTCTGCTACTTATGATGTTGGACCAGTTTCAATTTCCTTGACCCTCAGCTTTCCTTTTCTGTCAAAAATAGAGTGAATACCTACCTTGCAGAATCATTAAAATATATGTCATAGATTCCTCCTCCCAATACTGAGCACTCCTCTGCTTAGCTATCAGCTGTCTATCATCCCTTCCCCCAGTTGTACTTTTTTTCCTCTCTTGATAGAAAATTGGGGAGCCCTTATTCAATCCTAAACCTGTCCCTCTCATAACTTGCCCCCCATCACAGAAGGAGCTCTCAGGCCTGGGGTGGGTGCCGAGGTGATTCAACCTTTGTGCTGGAAGGATGCAACTTCCTCTTGAACAGTGTGCTGTTGTAAAACTACTACCAATAAAGTTTTATTTTAAAAAATGTGTGTCATGGCCCTGGCTGGTGTGGCTCAGTAGATTGAGTGCCAGCCTTTGAACCAAAGGGTCACCTGCTTGATTCCCAGTCAGTGTGCATGCCTGTGTTGCAGGCCAGGTCCCCAGTAGGCAGGGGTGCACAAGGGGCAACTACACATTGCTGTTTCTCTCCCTCTCTTTCTCCTTCCTCCCCTCCCTGAAAGATATAAATAAATAGAATATTTTCTTAAAAAGCTAAAAAAATAAAAAAATGTGCGGCATGGAATATGGATACAAATTGTAGTTTGGTATTTTTAGAATTATAAAAGTGACTGGTAAAGCCATTAGGGTAGTTTCTTAGGGGGAATTTAGCCTGGGAGTACAAAAAGAGAGAAGGAAAAACGAAAGGAAAAGTAGAGTCCAAGAAAAATTACTTAGAAAAAATTAGAATGTGAAAAGTCAAGAAAGGAATCATCAGTAGTGATGTCTCAGACTGGCTTCCCTTTTAAGGCTAATCCCTCCACTGTGCTCTTGGTAAGATTCATTCAAAATCTTGCCTGTTTTAGTCACTCTCCTTTCTACACACATACACACAACACAGTCCATTCTCATTATTCATGACAGATTCTACAATGTTGCTGCAAACACTAAATCAGCAAATACTGAATTTTTGCTTTTAGGGGAAATAGAGGAAATACAGGACTCGTTTCCCATGAGCCTATGGTGACAATATTTTCATTGACTGATTAATACATCACCTTGTTTTATTTGTATTTCTGTTTAAAGACCCTTTATTTCATATATATTGTTAATTCATTAATGCTGAATTCATGACCAACAGCACAGTAAATCATGCTGGAATTAAGCTTATCTAACACATGTATTTTCTCTGTAAGACATTACAACTTTTTTACACTTAGGAATACCAGCCAGCAAGCACTTCAAGAGTATGCTTGGAGACAGTTTCTTTTAGGGGGAAAAGGGGCAGTTTTAAACAGTGAAATCACAAATGCAAAAGAGTAACACTAAATAGATTGCAAAAAGACACTTGTTTATAGTCTAACAGTTGAAACAAGAAGGTAGAACTTCCTCTTTTTTGGTTTGTTTTTTCAGAGCTTTGTCTCATTCAGTCTCAGCTGGGAATGTGTGTATCAGGTGTCTTAAATTCTCACTGCCTGTATTGTCCATGAATGAACATAGATATTATTTTGGGGGTTACAAATATATTTAGCAAGCAGGCAAATTTGCAAACACAGAATCTATAAATGAGGATCAACTATGTGTGGTTGTGTTTCCTTTTTACAGACAGAGGCAACCTAGATACCTGTGGACTCTGAGAAAGAAGATGCAAACTAAGAAGGGCTCCAGATGGCTAAATGGGGTCAAACTTAAAACACGGAGCCTAGCAGCAATTTCTACACAGGGGACTCTCATGCCAACTTGACTCCAGGGAGAAGCCTGCACTAAGCTGCCTGCTACCTGCTGGCACTGTGTTTTTGCCATCTGAGCCAGCCCTTATAAATGAATTCCTGGGATCTTATTTCAACCAATAAGACTGA